AGACCTTGTTAGGGTGAATGTTGCTCAGCATGACTCTCGCTATGTGAGGATGATGTCCTAAAATTCTGATTCTAGCGAGATTGGTTTCCATAACTCTGAGTACGTCTGAAGGAAGACCCACCACCTAACTGATGACTGGACTGAGCTGGTGCCAATGACTCCTTGTTAGAGGAATCCTTTCCACCTCCGCTGGATGTACCATTAAACCTACCCGCTGTCCGGGCTTTCTTGTTATGCTCTTTTTCTTCTCTCCTTTGTTGTCTGTCTTTTCTAAGTGCTTGGCAAACCCTACAACAGAGGAGAAAGCTGTCATTCCTACCGCTGTAGCTGATGTCGTATCCTTAATGTGGTAAGCCAAACCGCCAACAAACCTGCGAATCTTTGCTTTTTCTGTCTTAACCATGTGAGGAGCATGCTTAGCTAGCCTTATGAATTCCATGTAGTACTCTTGCACACTTTTACTCCCTTGCTTGAGCTATTCGAACTCTGTAGCCTTAGCTTCCCTATCCTCTTCCGGGATAAAGTTAGCCATGAAGGCCTCTTTAAATTCTTCCCAAGTAGGCGGACCATCATCTTCATCTCTTTCCTTTTCCCACATCTCAAACCAAACGCCGGCCACATCTCTAAGCTGGTCAGCCGCCAGCTCCACAGCTTCATCATCAAATGCTTTCATCGCTCGGAGGGCTTTCTCCACACCCTCCAGCCACAACATTGGATCTTCATCAACTATAGAACCATGGAACACTGGAGGACTCAACTTCAAAAATTCATTCACTCTTGAGGACTCAGAATTGTTCTGTCTATTTGATTGAGGTGGAATCTCATCTCTTCTCTCGTTCTGGTTGGCCATGAAGGCTTTAAACATCTCCATAGCGCTGTTGACTGCATTAAACATCTGACCCACCTCTGGGGATATAGTAGTTTGAGCCGGAGCTGCTGTTGGGGGCGGCATTGGATCCTGAGGTACTTGCTCATCATTATCCACCCCTTTTTCACGTTCAACTCGGGGTACTTGGACCCCTTTTGTGGATCTACCTTTCCTTTTCTGAGTTAAAGCCTTCTTAGTTCTGCCTTGAGCCACAATAGTAGCAATAGTTTCTTGAGCAGCATCCTGAGTGTTGGTGTCAGAGTTGCTAGTACGAGCCATTTCTGCGAGTTTTGAAAAAACGAATACATTAGGTAATTTCTTAGAGGTAGGATCTACTGCACGATCTAAAGTATGAAAAAAATGAAATTTTTCCTAAATGCTTGTAGCCTCCTATTTATAAGTATGGCGCGCTTCATACCGATAAACAAGACTCTACTAACTCGGCCTCATAGACCCCTAGGACTCCATAAACCTGACGCTCTAATACCAAGTTTGTCACGACCCATTTTCTGAACAAGCCGGGACCGGCACCCAATCACTAAACATGACCGATCGAACCATCTGTGCTTATCAAATCTATTATAACTTCAAACTTTATATGCCACAAGGCACTACTATAACCAAATACTTTAATATAATTTAACTATCTAAAATAAGCCAACTTCAAAACTTTATTTGTAGTAACCAATAAAATACTGCTAAGTTATTATCGAAAACATCTGAATCTTAGCCCACCGACTATGTCTATGCAGCCTCTACTGATAAACTGACGCACTGCTCAGGACATGAGATTTCCTAGCCAGTTCTCTAAGTAAACAAAGAAATAGCTAAATAAAAATGACTCTAAGGAATACTCCACGAACAAAAGCGGAGCTCACCAATAGCACTAGAAGAGAAGGAAGTCCTAACCCGTAGCCTGCTCGCCTGCAAAATCGGTTCCTACGTTGTACCGCAGACCAACGTAGGTTCCCAAAATAGAACGTCAGTACCATCCATTGTACTCAGTGAGTCTCAACGACAGGGGACGAAACTTTAATAACATATACATTACGAGCAAAGATTCAAAATGTATGTAAAACGTAGAGCTTATAAGAACAATTCTAAAATAATTGCATAATAGCAGTTTATGAATATTCTAAAAGATATTCTTTTCTTTTTCTTTCTTATAAAAAAATACTTCACTTTATACTTTGGGAGTTCCAACTATCCTGACTTAATTCTGTCTCACTCACCGTGTGATCGGCACGGGTTCGATCCCAACCTGATAGAATAGGCCCAATCCACGAGGTGCCACTCGCTTCATGGTTCTCAACGCTCATGTATCACACCTTAGCATGGCTAAGTAAATTCTCAGCAACGAGACCCTCGGCTCGTGTGCTCCCTATTTTGGCACAAGTAGTTTCAGGAAGTCAACGCCTTGGTCTGGACCCTCGGCCTGGACGATGACCCCTTCTCAGAATAAAGGATACTCCCAAAAATCTTTTCTTTCTAAAACTTCTTCTTGTGACCTTTCAAGTCTAAATCTTTTCTTTATAGAACATCATGTACATGCTCAGGTTGGTATCCTTAAATGTAAAGCATGTCAAAGAATGAAATAATCATGTAAAAGTATTTCCAAAAATTCTTTCTTCTATTTTCAACATGAAAATAGCATATAAGAATAACACAAAAATCTAAAAATTTAAGCACATATATCATAATAAATCATCTAGACTTTTGCTAGAACAATTCTAAGTTAATATGTACTCACTCGTTCCAATCAAGTAAATATAAAATCCTTTAAGCAATTCATCAAACACCTTGTATGCGTGCTTTTGTGAGTTAAACCACTTTAATAAAGGGTTATATCAACTCACCTCAAAACTCCTTGAGCCAATATGTAGACCCCAGTCCAATTTATACCCGTCAAACAATTGATTCTACAACAACCAGTGCATTTTAATTAATTTCAAAGTTTCACACCTAAACATGAGATTTTGTTGATATAGAGGAAGAAATGAATTAACTATTCAATTCTTACCTACAACTACTGTGGGATAATTAACAATAGGAAATTTCACATACTTGAGTTTAAGAATCAGTGATTTGTAAAGAACCTAGGATTTTTTTTTTCCTTTCCTGCGTTCGCTGCATAAACAGAGCAGCGTTCTGTTTTTGTTGTTCTATAATATTATGTTGCTTTTTCTTTGGACCTTTGAGTTCTGACGTCAAAGGCAAGGCTTTAAAGCCTTAAGCCTTTTTCTTTCAACAGCCTTTATGGGCTTAGGCTTGTCCTCCAATTTTTTTATTATTTGTTTTTTTTTTACTTAGCAAATAATTAATGATATCTACTTTTAATAATTAATAATATTTAAATTATTAATATTCTCCTAATCGTATATTCAATTATTTATAAATAGAGAAGTAGCTCAAAAGTCAATCACAAGGGTTTAAATCTGTAATACGAGTATAATTTAAGGGAAACAAAGTTTAAATTCTATATTTAGCGAGTCTTGAAATTTGTATAAATTTGAGAAGTGTTACAATTTGTATGTGTTAGTAATGATAAGACTAATAAAGCAAATGTCATTTGAACCGGAAAAGTAAACGAGTAGTTTATTCATCATTTTCTGAAAATTATAACTATGAAGGATTTGATGGTCTAATTTGAAATTTTGAACAAATTATTCCACTTTTTGTTGTGTTCATTTGAAGGTTGTAATCTGTCAAATTGATCATTTTAATAGTGCTCATTATTTTTACACTAGAGTCACATTAAAAACTGCTCCACTTGCCTTCTGAAATAAACAAATGAGTATCAGAAGTTGCAACTGAACCTGAAGGTTTTTAATTTTATTATTATTGTTTCCTTCCTTTAATATTGTGGTGCTATCCTTAGTTGAAAATACCACATTTTCCACTTTGGCGTGCTCTTTCTATTATTTTTATTTGGGGAGACTTGTGAAAAGAGAAACAAGAACTGAACTATTTAGGGTGTGTTTGATACGAAGGAAAATGTTTTTCATGGAAAATGAGTGGTTTTATCACTTATTTTCTCTTGTTTGGTTGGTAAGTGGAAAACATTTTCCGGAAAATATTTTCTATTGTTTGGTTAGAGAGTAGAAAATATTTTTTTTTAGGAAAATATTTTTTATGCAACTCTCCTCACCCCTCCCCCTCCCCCACCCCTTCCCGAAGTCTCTAAAAATTGACACAACCCAAAGGAACTAATGTGATGCTTTACTTTTTTACGCAAAAATCACAAATTTTCGAACCCGTAAACTTCCAAACACATAAACCTCTGAACTCATAATTTTGGAACTTGTAAAATTTCGAACCTGTAAATCGAAAGATAAAAAAAATAAAACTGAAAATATATATAAAAAAATATTTTTTTCCTTGGGAGGGGGGTGGGGGAGGGGCAGGGGTATGTGCAGAAAAATAAAAAATAGAAATTTGAAATTACAAAAAAAAAGTAAATTCTTTTTGCAGGGTGTGGGGGGGTTGGGGGCAGGGGCAGTGGGGAGTGGGGTGCAGAAAAACGAAAAAACAGAAATTTGAAAAATACAAAAAAGTAAAAAAAAAATTTGTAGGGGGGCAAGGGGCAGTGAGGGTGGGGTTTTGGCGTGGGTAGCAGGGTGGATGGTGACGGAAAAAAAAACTAAATTTAAAAAAAATCCTTTTT